TTGAATGTGCTGGAGGGTAGTACTACAGTGGCTGTCCTTCCCCTGTCCCTTGAGTCACTTGGTGTGGGGATGTGGGCAATGTGCAATCCCTCCCAGGCACCAGAAGTTATTGGTAGACATGGAGAGGGTCTTCAGGGCCAGGATGGTAGAACCGAGGATGCCTGGAAGATGACTCCAGAATATGTATGTCAGGTCTCTGGCTGGCTGGCCACCCTCACAGCAGAGGCAGTTGCTCTTACACGTGTGGTTCCTGTGAAACCTTGGGAGATGGCTCCAGTCCTACAGGTCTACTGCACCAGGGGATACAGCTGCTGACCTCTTCTCATTGTGATGGTGTTTGCCAAGAACCTTGAAGGCTGTGCCACTACCCTCGTTGATATTACTAGGCCAGAAACTAATAATTTGTTTCATTGAAAATGCTGGGGAATTGACCATGATTTGGAGTACTATAGATGGGTGAACTGGAATGAACAGCTTGCGAAGGCAAATTTAACGGTTATTAGCAAAAAGAAAAGGGGAACAAACTACTGCCATATCCTCTTTGCTTTGGTTCTTAAGGTTCTTTTACACAATTATGCTTTATTGACCCAAACAGGAATAGTGGGGAGGGAAGTAAGATGAGTGTGGTGGGTGCAGATAGACAAACTGAATCTGGGTAAACCAAGCATGGGCAGACGGTCTGGTGCTTCTCTTGGTTTTCTGATACCTTTTAAGTCTAAATCTCAAGACTCTTTCTACAGGCTTAGAGGTTAAGTTTAGAGAAATAAAGCACAAATGACCTGGGTGTGGTGATATACACTTTTAATCCCAGGATTTGGGAGGCAGAGGAGGATGTCTTGAGTTTGAGGCTCTGTGTAATGTCTTCCCTGATCTACATAGGGAGTTCCAGGATAGCTAAGACTACATAGCGAGACCTGTGTCAAATAGTACAGAAAAAGACACAGGTGACAGTGTGGACCCACTGTGTTAGAAGCTAGCACTGCAAGTGCTCACAGAAGCTTAAACACATGTCAGTGACATCTAAGAGTGCGCTCTTGAAAAGCCATCATAAGGACCAGGGAGAAAGATGGCATAATGGGTCATGGTACTTGCCATACAGGCCCAGTGACCTAAGTTCAATCCCAAGGACCCATATAGAGTGGAAGCAGAGAACAGACTCCACAGTTGTTCTCTGATGTCCACAGGTGTGCCCTGGCACAGGCCTCCCCCAATAATAGTGATAATTATTATTTTTACTGTTGCTGCTACTGAAAAAAAAAAAAAGATCTCTGGTCTCGAACTGCAGCTGGTAAGTGGCCTCCACTGACTCAGACCGAAGAGTTTGTTTTATGTGTGTGGGAGTTTTTGTCTGCATGTGTAACTTGCACCTTGTGTGTGTACAGGTTCCTGAGGAGGCCAGAAGAGGGTGTTGGAACCCCTAAAACTGGAATTACAGACAGGTATGAGCTGTCATGTGGGTGCTGGGAATAGAACCCAGGTTCTCTGCAAGAGCAGCCAATGTTTTTATCTGCTGAGCCATCTCTCCAGACCCATTATCTGTGTTTGAATTCCCAGCACCCACATAAAAAGCCATGCATATCTGTAAGCCCAGGGAAAAGAATAGAGAAGATCCTTGAAGCTGATCAGCCAAATTAGCAGTCAGTGAGCTCCAAGTCCAGTAAGAGACCTTGTCTCAAAAACAGAGTTAGGTTGAACTTGGTGGTGCATGCCTTTAATCCTGACACTCAGGAAGCCAGCCTGGTCTACATAGTGAGTTTCAGGACAGCCTGGCTATGCTATGTAAAGAGATCCTGTCTCAACACACACACACACACACACACATACACACACACACACACACAGAGCCATCTAAGCGATAGAGTGAGAGAGAATTATTGGGTAGTGTGTATAAATTCTGTTTATATGGATATGGAATTGTAAAAAAAAAAGTCTAAAATAAGGCCTACCACAACCATGCTATGTAAACACCTCTAAGTTCAGTGGGTCATTAATGGACATGAAAGTAAGAGTGAGAAGGGCTTTATGGGGGGTAACGGGTTCAGTGGTGATAGAGAAGGCCTAAGATCAAAATATAGGGCATACATATAAAAAGTTCTCAAAGAATAAATTTTTAAAACATTTTTTAAAAACTTTAAAAAACTTTGAGGAAGACAGTGTCAGCCTCTAGCCTTCATCACCGGCTGAGGGAACACAGTGAGCAAGTGAGCATGCAACAGCAAGAAGGTTCAGAATCACTGTTATCACACTGTTACAAGAAGGTTCAGAATCACTGTTGTCCACTGTTACAAGAAGGTTCAGAATCACTGTTGTCCACTGTTACAAGAAGGTTCAGAATCACTGTTGTCCACTGTTACAAGAAGGTTCAGAATCACTGTTGTCCACTGTTACAAGAAGGTTCAGAATCACTGTTATCACACTGTTACAAGAAGGTTCAGAATCACTGTTGTCCACTGTTACAAGAAGGTTCAGAATCACTGTTGTCACACTGTTACAAGAAGGTTCAGAATCACTGTTGTCCACTGTTATAACTCAGAGAATGCTTGAGCCATCACTGAGCTCAGGGGAATCAGAGTCTCCAGAGAAAAGTATTCATCTACTTTTAGGCTTCTTCTGCAACAATGAAAGTCAAGACCATGAGCCAGTTTCTGCCATGTACATGTCCTCTTCCCTTGTGTGTGCTACAGAAAATCACATTCTGACAGACAAGCTGCCATGCCAGACTCTAGGACTCACTCATGTGGCAGCAACATTGCAGTTGTGTGGTTTTGCAATGTCGTGTCCTGAGGTTCAGTTCCTGCAGTCTGGTTTGCTGCAGATTTTGGAGTGGTGAGCAGGCTGCTGTGAGGACAGTGACCCAGTTACACTGGTATTTGCTCTTAGTGTCATATCTGGGAGGGGCAGTCCTGACACAGGGTGTCTAGCCGAGAGTGGTGATACCAGTAATCTCAGCACTCAGGAGACTGAGGCAGGAGCAGTGAGTTCTAGACAAGCCTTGACTGTATAGGCGAGATTCTATCACAAAACTAAAATGTGGTTGTCAAAAACTAGGAAGCAGGTCAGGCATTGGTGGTGCACACCTTTAATACCAGCACTCGGGAGGCAGAGGCAAGTGGATCTCTGTGAGTTCGAGGCCAGCCTGGTCTACAGAGTGAGTGCAAGGACAGGCTCCAAAGCTACAGAGAAACCCTGTCTTGAAAAACAAAAACCTAGGAAGCAAGCCCTACCCTTGTTGAATTTGGATAGGACGTTAGTCACAATGCAGTGAACAGACCACTACTAACTCTTGCCCCTCCCCCGCGGGCCTGCTGAATGACAGATTCATTCCATTGTGTGGAGGGTGGTTGGATACAATCCAAGTAGTGACATCAGAATATGATCAACTTGCTAACAAGAGCTAGACAGTTCTGTTAAAATCAAGAGCACTGTGGTCAAATCACACATAGTCTTACCTAATGATGAGGGTAATTTTACATTTGTCTTATAAGTTATTTTTGATATAAACATACACATTATATAGTGTTCCATGTTTATATGTGTAATGTTTCAGTCAGATAAAATATTTCCTCAGACATCTATTTTTCAACTAGCCATGGCAGTGAATTCCTCTAATTTCAAAATCTGGGAGAGAGAGGCAGGATGATTGGGAGTTGAAGGCCCACCTGGACCACACGAGACCCTGCCTTTAAAAAAAAAAAAGTATTATTATTTTTTTTGCTGTTGTTTATTGGAAAGTTAGTACCTTTTTTTAAATATATTTTTTCAATTTTTAAATTTAAATTAGAAACAAGGTTGCTTCACATGTCAATTCCAGGTCCCTCTCCCATTCCCTCCCCTCCTCCTGTGCCCTCCTCCCACCAACCCCTCCAAGATCCCCTCTTTTCCCCAGGGAGGGTGAGGCCCTCCATGGGGGTGTCCATAGTCTGTCATTTCACCCAGGGCAGGGCCTAGACCCTCCCCCAAGAGTCCAGGGTGAGAATGCAGCTCTCATTATTGGATGGTGTAGAGAGAAGACTTTTTCTTGTCTGCCGCTTTGGTTTTTCCCCACCAGTCACCTAGGCTCTGCTGTGTTGTAGTCCCCAAATAACACACAAGATGCTGTATTAATTATGAAGCTGTTGGCCTTGCTTGTTTCTTACTGGCTAGCTCTGACTTAAGTATGTAATCCCATCTAAGTATTTCTCTTACCGGATGGACATCTTACTTCTCTGGCGGGCTACATGATGACTCCTGTGTTTCTCCTACCCAGAGTCCTCCTCGATTCCTAGTCCCACCTATCTTGCTTCCCTATTGGCCAACAGTGCTTTATTGACATATACACAGGATTTCCCCATCAGGATGGGAGCCCAAAGTCCATTTGTATACCTGGGATAAATACTGATCTACTACTGAAGGCTCAATAGATTACCTAGGCCTCCTCACTGATACCCACATTCAGGCATCTGTCTGGGATTCAAGAGCTACTACCCCTTGTCAGGTCAGCTGTTTCTGGGGATTAAACCAGCCCAGTCTTAACCCCTTTGGTCATCAGTCCTCCCTCTCTGTCACTGGATTTCTTGAGTTCAAAAAAGTATTATTTTTTTAAGTTTTGTTTTGAAAAAGTATTACAGTGTTGCCAAAGCTGGCCTCAAACCCAAGGTCCTTGCAAGCCTCCTCAGTGCTGGGGTTGCAGGTATGTGTCACCAGGTAGCTTAGCTTATTACTTAGTGCTTTGTGCTAAAAATGTCCAGATGTTTCTTCCAGATGAAGCTGTAGTTGTATGGTTGCATATACCACAGCATCGTGGGAGTTAGTTCCCTTTCCACTGTGTGGACTCCGTGCACAGGCTTTAGGATGTGTATGGCAAGTGTTTTTACTGGTTAAGCCATCTTGACTACTCATTCTCTAGATTTTTAATGTTTCATTGTTTCAGAGAGAGAAATTAAAAGTATGAGAATTGGATTTTCAGACTATTGTGGAAGAATAAGACCATTTTTCTCAACACATTATTTCTCATATTTTAGAAAAGGCGACGACGGATTGACCGGAGTATGATTGGAGAGCCAACCAACTTTGTGCACACGGCTCATGTAGGATCCGGAGACCTGTTTAGTGGGATGAACTCAGTAAGTGTGTTCTTGACAGACTCAAACCTTTAAAATGATTTGTTTATACTTGTTATGTCTGTCCCTTCTAATAATGTCATATCAAGTGAGTTCTGAACAAGATTATGCCAGTCACAGGTAGGGGGGCAACAAAGCAAAACACTATCTGCACAGACCTTCCCTGTTGTCCCTCCCTAGCAGTACCATCTAGCAGTTATTTTACAGTATTAACACTGTGTTAAATATGCTCTAGAGGGGCTGGAGAGATGGCTCAGAGGTTAAGAGCTTGGACTGCTCTTCCAGAGGTCCTGAGTTCGTTTCCCAGCAACCACATGGTGGCTCACAACCATCCATGGTGAGATCCGGTGTCCTCTTCTGGCGTGCAGATATACATGGAGGCAGGATGTTGTATTCACAATAGATAAATAAATCTTCTTTTAAAAAAAATGCTCTAGATACAATACAGGTGACTTAATGTTTATTGGAAATGTGATTGGTTATATGCAAGTCAGATCTCTTCATGCAGGAACAGACACTCAGTGTGAACATAAATCTTGGATTTGGATTTCATATGGGTTAGTTAACAATCGATTCATTCTTATGTCCCCACCATGGGACTTGCAGGTGAGCTTTGAAATCAGAATTTAAGCGAGGCACAGTGTTTAATCCCACTGCTCAGAGGACCTCTGAGTTCGAGGCCAGCCTGTCTACATAGTGAATTCAAGGACAGCCAGGGCTGCATAGACACCCTGTCTATGCCAAAAAAATAAAAATTAATATTTACCCTCTTGTAGTGAACTACTTTTCACATACTCTTCTTAAGATTTAGTTATTATGGATGTTTGTGTGCGCGTGTCACACGCGTGCAGAGGCCAGGAGGCGGCAGTGTGATTCCCTCACATTGGAGGTTGTGAGCCACCTGATGTGGTTGGGTGCTAGGAACAGAACAGAACTTGGGACCTCTGCGAGAACTATGTCACTCTTTTTTTTTTTTTTTTTTTTTTTTTTTTGGTTTTTACGAGACAGGGTTTCTCTGTATTGTTTTGGAGGCTGTCGGTCCAGCCTGGCCTTGAACTCACAGAGATCCGCCTGCCTCTGCCTCCTGAGTGCTGGGATTAAAGGTGTGCGCCACCACCGCCTGGCGAGCTATGTCACTCTTAACCACTGAGCTGTCGTCTCTCTAGCCCCACATTCATGTCTGTTGATTCTGCTTCTTAAGTTGTCAGCATTTCTGTGAAGGAAGATGTTACAATCCTGGTGATGTTGGCTACTGTGGTTAAGCTCTTTCCTGCTGAGCAGATAGTGGGATTTGCACACATCCCTTTAGGCAGAGTAGCAGACATTTGCCACATTGAGCAATTAGTTATAAAGTACCTGAAATGAGGACGGAGACTCTGCTGTCTTTTACATAGAGATTTACTATGTGCCAGAGTAGACCGTAGGCTCATTGGTTCTCCTGGACTCCTCTGTAGTGTTCATCTAAGGACACCAAGGGAGGGCACTTCCAGAGCCACTCTCCTTGTGCTCCTTAGGAAACATGATGCCTAGAGTGACCCCAGGTGTCACTTCACTGACACTGTTGTAGAAGCAGAATTAGACTGCTGCTGTCTTAGGATTTCTGTTGCTATGAAGAGACACCATGACTACAGCAACTCATATAAAGAAAAAATTTAATTGTGCTGGCTTACAGTTCTGAGGGTTAGTCCATTATCATCATGGCAGGAAGCATGGTGGCATGCAGACAGACATGGTGATGGAGAGGGAGCTGAGAGTTCTGCATCTGGATCCGCAGGCAGCAACAGAAGAGAAACTGAGAAACACTGGCCAGGTGTCAGCAGCTGAGACCTCAGAGCCCACCCCCAGTGACTTTCTAATAGTGCCACTCCCTAGGAGCCTGTGGGGACCATTTTCTTTCAGTCTACTTCAGTTTTGTTCAAACTCCCCAGCCAGGATCAACAGAGCTGGGTTAGACTGGGTAATGAGTGTCTGGGGCACGCAAGCCCACTTGTCCCCTCAGTGACTAGAAAACAAGGGAGCCATTTGTCACTCCCATTTTCAGTCTGTGGAAGGACTTGTTTCACTGGCTGTGTTGTTGAGTGTCACAATGTCTAGAGAGAAACAGCTGTCCTGTTTGCTAGATGGCAGGGCGAAAACAGCAGGGGTCTTTGAGCCCTCTCTAGTTAGTGTGCTTATTGTAATCTGGTTATAGAACAGGTGTTGCACATTTATCATATTATTATCTTTTGTCAATAAATATCTTCACTTCTGGATCTGCATGCAGCAGAAGAAGAGAAACTGAGAAACACTGGCCAGGTGTGGCAGTTTGAGACAGGTTCTAAAGATGGAGGCCAAGCTGGTCTTGAACTTGGGCTCCTGTATCAGGCTGGTGGATACTGGCACATTACTTAGCTACCTCTTAAGATTAAATCTAGCTTGTGGTGTTTGGTAGTGCTTGTGACTTTTGTTTGTGCAGAGTTGAGAATTTTCTTTAAATCTGTGCTTAGCATCTTACTGTTAGTAAGTGCACTTTGTGAGGTCTACTGCTTGCCCTGGCTGGGGTGGAACCTTTTGGGTTGACAACATCAGGTGGCAGCAGGTTCTGCCCTCTGAGCCACTGGAGTCTTCTCTGGGACTGGCATACTTTCTGTAGGGACAATATGTCTTTTTGGTAGTGATTTCATTGAATGATCCTGCTGCTCCCCTGTAGAATGCTGAGTTCTTGTTGACAGTTCCACTTAAGTAAACCTGCCTGTGAGAGAAATTGTGTTTTTCTGTCTCAGAATAGCGGCAATGAGACAAAACCATGAATAGAAATGCTATTTATCCAGAGAGACATTCCCACCCCATCTGTGTTCTGACACTGGAGCAGCTGTAATTAGGAACAGGCCCCTGTGTGAGGTGCCTGCCTGGCCTGCACTACAGCATTGATGGCCCCACTGAATACTAAGCTCTTTCCAAGGCTGCTTTGCTGGTGCGTGCTTGCGTGTGTGCGTGTACACATACATTATTTTATGTGCATTGGTGTTTTGCCATGGATGCCTGATCCCCTGGAACTGGAGATACAGACAGGTGTGAGCCACCATGTTGGTGCTTGGAATTGAACCCAGGTCCTCAGAAAGAGCAGCCAGTGCTCTTAACCACTGAGCCATCTCTCCAGCTCTGACTTACTTTTGATGTGTTGGTGCTGTGTTTACCGGTGTGAACTGCCACATCTGCAAGCTTACTTTTTAATTTCAGCTTCTTGCCAGGAGCTCTGTGATCCTTTAGTAGTAGTTTTAAAACACTGTCCACATGCAGTCATATGACTGCTGTCAGCACTGATGGGTCACTTATTAGAAAACCCTGACCCTTCAGTTTGACACTGCAGAACCATTTGTTTTGCTTGAGGAAACACACCTTTTTCTTCTTAGACTTGTGTGGCTTTATGAGTTCGCAAGTGTTGAGCAGGTTGACCTGGAGCACACAGAGACTGTTGCGTGTTGACTGTAGACTGTTACTGGGGCTGAGTCACAAAGGGGTGTGGATGGGGGTCATGCCCGATAACTTAAAGACAGGCTCTGTATCCTTCCCTAAAGCAACCATCAGCTGTGAATATGGGTGTTGAGTGGTAGTGTGTGCAACCCCGCTGGGGTGAGATACTCCATGGAAGTCAGTGTCCCAGAGTAATGGGAGTGGCCCCGGAAGGTGTCTCCTTACTTTCTCCAGAAATCACTTACGCAAGCCTCATCACTTTCTTTAAACATAAAATATTGACTTAGGATCACCAGTGAAAAGGGCCCCATGCTTCCTTTATGTCCCAGTAAGTGCTCAGTAGCGCTCAGTAAATAGATTTATGAACAAGTCTCAGCTCTGGGAGGTGACCCTTCAAGGGGCCCCACCAGTATGTGACTGAGTCATCACTGGGCATCACCTCCAAGCTCCCTAGTCCAACTCACTCTCTACTTCCAGAGTGTTTCTCAGTTACAGGAGCGCTGTTGAAACCCTGACAACAAACTGAAAGGTGGTGTGTGCATTTGCTGCAACACCGTGAGGCCATTGGAGCGTGACTCTGCTCTTCTTGCCGTGCAGGGGCTGACGATTAGAAAGTGAACTTGGCCTACAGTATGTCTTTGGAACCTGGGTGTCTTCCATTCATCAGTCTATCAGGACTGTGCATCAGTCAGAATGAGGTGGCACGTTTGGAAACGGAGGCAGTATGACCACAAATTCAAGGCCAGCTTAGGCTACATGAGGCCTTCCTTGAGGGAAAAGAACAGAAACGGGGGAAAAAAAGAAGTCAAACAAATTTTCAGTAGTGGCCTCACGGTTTGCATTACACCCGGGAAAAGTTAAGGTGTTAGGAATGAGTATGTGGACTGGAGAGATGACTCAGTGGTTAAGACTGTTCTTCCAGAAGTTTTTTCAGAGTTCAATTCCTAGCAACCACAGGGTGGCTCACAATCATCTGTAGTGAGATCTGGTGCCCTCTTCTGGCCTGCAGGCACACTACTGTATACACAATAAATAAATCAGCAGTCCCTCCCCCCCCCCCCCCCCAGAGCTGAGGACCGAACCCAGGGCCTTGCACTGAGCTAAATCCCCAATCCCAAATCAGCAGTCTTTTAAGAACAGTGAGTTTGTGCTTTCCCTGTACACATGGCCTAAAGTTGGCAGGGAAATCGCTGTGCTGCACCACCTGACCCTGCTGAGACTCTTTCCGCCCTGTCTTGTTTTAGGTCAGCTCCATTCAGAACCAAATGCAGTCCAAAGGAGGCTATGGAGGCGGCATGGCCGCCAGCGTGCAGATGCAGCTCGTGGACACGAAAGCAGGATAGCCCTGGTCCCATCACCTGTGAGTACCTCAGAGCTGGGGTGAGCCTTAGTTATGTCTTGAGGTTTAAACAACTGCTCACTTAGTCAGATGATCTTTCTTTGTGGCCTGGACGCATGCTTTATTTTAGGTTTAAATGTCAGGCTGTCTCCTCATTGGAAGGCCTTGAAGGGCAGGCAGCATCTGGGTAGGGAGGAGGTGTCAACCTACAGTTCTGTGGCAAGGTGCTGGTGTCCTCTTACATGGAAGGACTAATACTGTGCCTGGCAGCCTCGTGAGCAGTGAGGTATTTTATATGTAAGTCAATGTAAGCTTTTCAGATGAAAAAGGATTTACCTAAGAGGGTCAGAATAATTTCCATTTTTGGCTAGTTGGCACATGCCTTTAATACTAGCACTTAGGAGGCAGTCCCACTTAGGTGGGACTGAGTTTGAGGCCAGGCTGGTCTACAATGGTTAGTTCTAGGACAGCCAGGGCTATGTAGAGAGACTCTGTATAAAACAAAACAAAAACCCTAAAAAGTAATAATTTGAATTTTTTTCTTTTGGTTTTGTAGGTCAGAATTTCTGTATTTTCTCTGTCCACAGTTCTATAATATTTTTGTCTTGTGATTGGATTTCTTTTATTTTAATTATAAAAAGAAGTGTGGCGGCAACCTGTTCACCCCTGTGATCTCCAGCAAGACGTTCCTGCTCCGAGGAAGGCAGCGTCAGTCCAACCTGCCTTGTCGTCAGCGGCATGCATGCCTGGGACTCTGACAGAGTTCTTTGGAAGTAGCTGAATTTCCAATGTCTAATCCACATAGATCGGATCGTAGCATGGTCTTCTTGTGACTGCTAGCACTGTTTTGTCATTTTGCATTTTAACCCTTTCATCGCGCCTCCAGCCACTCTGCCTTATGATTTTACAGGAGACTGTGGTTCCTGCCACCGATTATGTCTCTTCTGAAGGTGTGAGACCCACAAGCACAACAGTCCTTTTCATCTGTTGGAAACTTGAGCGCATGTCTGCACGCTCCATGGTGCTGCCCAGAGGCCCCCACAGGAGGCCAGACACTGGCCTGAGGATGCTGCTCTCCTGGAGGACGCTCTTTGCAGATAATCAGAGTTGGGGCTTGGTTTGATCAGAGCAGTGACAGAAAGCCTGCATTCCAGAGGCAGTCTTGTGGCTGTAAATGTTCAGTGTATTTATTTTGCAAGTAAGGACCTGTGATTGTGAGCAGATGGTCATGTATCTGAGTGTGTGGTGAAGCCCATCCAGTTCCTCAGCGTCGTCGTCCTGTTAGCTCTTCACTCTTTGTGCGCTGTCTTTCTGTTTTGTTTAAATTCTGGCCTCAGCACCAGATTTGACTTGCAGAGCCCTTGGCCTTCCAGTGTTCCACTTACTAGGAGGCCGTGGCAGCTTCCAACAGCAACCCGACAGGGAGCGGCCCTCGCGGTGACTTTCTGTGGTTAGCAAGAGGCCTTTGCTCAGGTCCTGCTCTGTTCCTCTTCCCCTCTGAGTGTAGGTGGCTGGGTCCTGTAGTCCAGCTTCTCCAACTGCCTTTGAGGCTTAGCATTCGTCTGGAAGGTGAGCTTAACTGAAGTTAGTGCTGAAGGCAGTGTGGCCCTCGTCTAGAGAAACTGTGATCATTCTGTCTTCTGCCTTCGTCTGTCTCTGTCCAACACTGCTGCTGTCCTGAGAATGCTGACTGCAGAGCCAGTAGGCCAGCGCTGGCAAAGCTGAAAGATTTTCCTACATTTCCTCTGGACTTAATTTACCAGTAGGGTGGAACACTGGATGACCTGGTTCTTTGATTTTGCAATTTTACCGTTCATAGGTGTCAATCCTGAGCACATGTCAAGAAACATTTAATTCACTGTCTTTAATTCACCATGTGGACGTTGCACTCTTGAGTTTGCCATTCTGCTTAGCCAGGGTGAGGTTCCTGCCAAGGCCTAGCTGTGTGCAAACTCTTTCTGTATGACAGACAGGGATTTCTTGGCATCTTCAGCACTGATGGATGGGACAGCACAGGGAGCCATTGTCCCCTCCCCCATCACTCTGCTGCTCCAAGGCCAGTCATGAATAAGCCAAAGGCTCCTGGAGCCTGTGATGGTCCTGCAGCTGCCTCAGTCGGACCTCTTCTCAGCACAGTGAGACACTGTACACAGTGCACCTGCCTAGTGCCCTCGAAGGTTCCAGTAAAGTCAAGAAAATGTACACAGTAACTAACCTTGTACATGATGGGTTTTTTTGGGAGGCTTAAGGATGCTGGCAAGGATGCAGGGAGGCAAACTTCCCACCTCCCTACATGGGATTGTAAACCTTGGGAACTCATTTGTTCCCTCATAGTAACACATCTCATTTTTAAATTGGAGCTAATAGGATTTTGTACCCAGAATTTATTATATTGTTAATACTTCTCTGAAATACATGGTAACAACTAGTAAGTGAGAGACACAGCAGACTGCACCATGCGGATTCTGGTAGCAACAACATGCTGGGCGCAACTTCTCCAGTGGGCCTGGGAGGTTTGTCCATTAGCTTCCCTGTGGTTAAGTAGAGCTGTTGGTGTAGAGCGGCTTGCCTTGATCTGCTCGGCACCGCAAGAGAAGATGGACGTATTTTTATAATATAAGCATACTTTTTTTGTACATTGTGTTCATTCTTGAATAAAGTGAGCTCACTGTTGGCTTGTAGATATTAAAAAGAAAGTATTGATTTTGATTCAATAAATGTTTTCTTTTAGTCCTGGCTTGGATTTTTTTCCTTTTAGTGAAATTTTATTCACCAGAACTTATATAGAGAGAACCTTCTGGCATCACTGCCTCTTCAGTGACAGCCCAGGGATGCAGACAACTGAAAGGGCTTTTGTCTTGTTGAATAGTAATAAATGTAAGCTGCTTGGCGCGGTGTGAGAGGATTGTGTGTTCATGCCTCATGTCAACCTGCAGAACTGTTCAAAGTTTGTCATTGTAATCCTTCCTTCCTCCCCACCCCCCCAGTCTTTTTAAGACAGGTCTCACTATGCAGTCTTTGCTGGCCTTGAACTTACTGTGTAGACCAGGTTGCTTCAAACTCCTAGGCCAACTAATTCTCCTGCCTCAGCCTCTGAGTGATAACAGGTTGCTTATTGTCAGCCATAACATGTCAGAACAACTGTTGCCTGGGTCATGGAGCTCCGCTTTTGCCAGGCTTGACAGCGGCACCTTTGCTACCTTGGCCTGGACACAGCTCCAGCAAGTGTCTGCTCAGTACACCCTGTTGGAATGGAATTACATTTGGCTGATGATTCCCTGTGGGGCACTTGACTTCATGGCTTCCGGAAGGGTGGCAATGAATCCGGTGGGTAGGAACTAGCAAGTGATAGGGAGGACAGGCCCACGGTGTCATTTTAACTTCTGATGTAGAAGAACAAATATCAGAACAACTTACCGTTCCACTCACGAGAGTCCTTAGGAGCCAAGCGTGGGTGGGTCAGTTGGGTTTAGAGCTGCCACTCAGAATCCTATAAATAGAAAAGTCAGAAGATTTTTAAGAAATATTTGTCAACAAGTTTCCAAAGACACTGGAAGAAAGCTGACATCAAATGAAGGTCTTTTCAGTGGCAAGATGATTCAGTGGGTAAAACTGATGTCCTGAGTGTGAGCCCAGGGATCCAGATAGTAGATATGAGAGAATTCCTGCAAGTTGTCCTCTGATCTCCACATACACACCATTTTTTGCCCACCCTTCCCCCATAAAGTCTGATTTTAAAAAGTGGAACCAGAACAAAATGCAATTCCAACCCTTAACCATGTGCCTGAAAGTGATGGGTAAGAACGGTTCTCAGGGCTGGAGAGATGCTCAGTGGTAAAGAGCACTGCTCTTGTGGAAGAACTGGGTTTAGCTGCAGTTATGGGGGATGCCATGCCACCTCCTGGTCTCCTTGGCACCTACACTCGTGCACGTAGTTACATACAAAAGAAAACAAGATTGCCTAATGAAATATTTATCAACAAAATTAGATAAATGTTGGAGAGGGATATGATAAGGCTGGGGCGGGTGCACACCTTTAATCCCAGTACCCAGGAGGCAGAAGCAGGAGGATCTCTGAGTTCATGATCATCCTGCTCTACATAGTGAGACCCTATATCAGAGGATCAAGAGAGAGGGAGCATTAAGAGAAATAAAGCGTATGAATAGGAAATAGTTATCTCTATTTGCAAATGATCAGATCTTAAAGGACATCAAGATTATATTTGAAAACATATCTGTAACAGCATACAAAGACCTTATATATATATATCAAGAAAAATAATCAGTTGAAGAGTCCTATTCACAATAGATTAAAAAACTGCGGGTGGGTGGACAGTGGTGGCACACTCCTCTATTCCCAGTACTTGAGAGGCAGAGACAAGGCCTGTGAGTTTGAGGCCAGCCTGGTCTACAGAGGGAGCTCCAGGACAGGCCCCAAAGCTACACAGAGAAACCCTGTCTCAAAAAACCAACAAACAAAACAACTGGGGGTGGGGGCACCCAAAGAGGTAAAAGATCTCTACAGCAAAAACCTTAAAAGGCAAGAAAGGGATTTGCTATAGAATATTTCAAGGCATATTACATTTGTTTATGCTGTGGAACATCTGTTTTAACGATGCAAGGATGTGTTGCATCCTTTTATGTTGCATTTGTTTAACTCTGAAGCTGTGTTACTTTGCCTGTCTAAAACTCCTGATTGGTCTAATAAAGAACTGAATGGCCTATAGCAAAGCAGGAAAAAGGATAGGCAACGAGAATAAATTAAAAAAAAAAGAAAGAAAGAGATCAAAGAGCAAGAAGAGGGACCAGCTACCCAGCCAGATATGGAATCAGAAGGTGAAAGCCCAGAAGCAAAAGGCAGATGGGATAATTTACATCAAGCTGGCTAGAAATACGCCAAGCTAAGGCTTGGTATTTATAAGAATAAGTCTCGGCATTTATTTGGGAGCTGGGTGGTGGCCCCCAAAGAATAGAAGTCAACCAATGACTGGAGCAGCTCATGGGGTCCATGCCGCCCGGCCTCTGCAGGTATCTTACATACGCACATAAACTAATTAAAAATAAATCTTAAAAAAATTTAAACCCAAGCCAGACATAGCAACACACAGGAGAACTGACAATTTAAGGCTGCTCTAAAACAAAACCCCAAGCTGATTCTTCCTCATAATTTAAACCTAACCAGCATATAACCCAACAGTCTTACTTGGTTTGCAGCCAAAATATCTGGAGTGTGGTCTAGAAGGGAGGTGGGCACCCTGTGTGTGTGGTGTTATTCCTGATGATGGACATAGATGTGACCCACGTGCTCCACAGTAGCAGAGTGGGTAAATTAAACAGCATGAACATACAATGAGAAATTAGTGTTAAGAAAGGAGGAGGCCGACTGTTCTATTGCTGTGAAGAGACACCATGACCAAGGCAGCTCCTATAAAGCATTTAATTGGGGGTTTACAGTTTCACAGGCTTATTAACCCATTACCCTCATGGCAGGGAGCCGTGGTGGCATACATGACAGGCGTGTACCTGGAGCAGTAGCTGAGAGCTTTATGTCCTGATGTGCAGGCAGCAAGCAGAGAGGGAGGGAAGACTGGGCTTGGCATAAGTTTTTGAAACCTCAAAGTCCCACACCCCCACATCTGTCCCCAGCCCCACACACATACTTTCTCCAACAAGACCACACCTATTCCAATAAGACCTTCCTCAAACAGCCACTGCCTACTGATTAAGCATTCAAACCTGTAAGTCATTTGGGGTCATTCTCATTCAAACTAGCACTGAGGCCTTTAGATGCTTACACTTGGGTCAACCATGAGGACAACTGAAATAAGTACGTCAAAAAGTCAAATAGAACTTCGGTTATGCAGTCAAGTCACAGCTACAGGAACAACACAGGCTCAGAGATAGGGAAAGCAGTGCTCATTAATGGATTCAGTTCTGAGACACGGGAATGTGGAGACTGGTTAGAAAATCCAAAGCCTGCCAGCACTTGGGAGGCAGAGGCAGGTGGATCTCTGTGAGTTTGAGGCAAGCCTGGTCTACAGAGTGACTTCCAGGACAGCCAAGGCTGTTACACAGAAAAACCATGTCTCAAAAAAAAAAAAAAAAAAAAAAAAGAAAGAAAGAAAAGAAAATCCAATGCCCCTAATGCCACTGAAGTGTACACAAACATGATTAAGGTAATTTTTATGTAATTTGTACTTTATTACAGTTTTTAAATTACCTCCTGCCCCAATCCTAATAAACACTCAAGAAAGACTGGTAGAATATCCCTGTAACCAGAACCAAAGAAATGTACCCTGATCCTGAAACCAGTGCCAAAGAAACTCACTTTGTCCCAGTGAAAGAAGTACACCCTGGTTCTAAAATTAGAGCCAAAAGGCTAAAAAAGGATCAATGAAAGAAACACACTTTGGCCCTGAAACCAGAGCCAAAACTGACCCTAAATCTGCAGAAAACTAACCAATCCCCACCCTAGAGAACTCCACCTCCTAAGAAGCCCTATATAAGCCCTGTGTCTGTTCAGCTTGTGGCTGTTTGTGCTGCCCCACTCCCTCCGTCCACCCTGGCAGAGGCAGCCACTCTCCTGGATTCTTCCCTTCTCCCTCCCAATAAATCTCTTGAATGAGGTTTGGGTGAGACCTTCCTTTGCCAGAATGGAGCTGAGGAGAGAAGTAACAAAAGAGAGAAGTAACAACCTTTCTCCCGAGTCAGAGCAGAGTAGAGTGGAGTCAGCTGAGCAGGACTGTAACGCTTTGGCAGGGTGAAACTTCCCATAGCAAAGCTGAGTTGTCACACTCCCGGGATCCGAGCCTGGGGAAGCCCTCCCCTGAAGGAGCAGAGCTGTTACACTGGGGAAGCCTTTCCCTGGGGCAGGGCAGTAAACTTACTGTGACCTGTGGTATTCCTTAGCTCCAGAGTGCCAGAATCCCTTTCCATCCGAGCTGCAGCAATGCTCACAATCCCTGCATTGTGAGGGGAGCCAAGTCTATGGGCACCAACACAGGTAGGTAGCTCCAGTGACAGCTGAGCCTCTTCTACTGCAGATACTCACAGGAAAGGGTGCTTCTTGGCACCCCTCCTTCCGTCACCTCTCCACCTCTCCTGGCACCCCTCCCTCTCAGCATCCCTTTTCTAACTACAGCGCTGGAGCTGAAACTATGGGTGAGCACTGGATCAACATCCATAGAAACTTGGCTCTGCCTTTAACTGACCTTGTCAAGGTTAGCCCTGCAATTCCATCATGTTACAGAGCCAACAAAAACTTTAATACTGTTCTCACTTGTTTTTCTCTGCATTAGGGATTGAACCCAGGGGCTGGAGAGATGGCTCAGCAGTTAAAAGCACTGACTGCTCTTCCAGAGGACCAGTTCAATTCCCAGCACCCAGATGGCAGCTCACAATTGCCTGTAATTCCAGCTTCAGCGGACCTGACATCCCCTCACACACAAGCAGGCGAAACACCAATGCACATAAAACAAATACTTTTTAACACTTTTTTAAAACCAGGTGTAGTGGCTCACGCCTTTAAACCCAGCATTCGGGAGGCAGAGGCAGGAGGATCTTGGTGAGTTCGAGGCCAGCCTGGTCTGCAAAGGGAGTTCCAGGACAGCCAAGGTGTTTATATATAGGAACCCTGTCTCAAAAAACAAACAAACCCAGAGAGAGAGAGAGAGAGAGAGAGAGAGAGAGAGAGAGAGAGAGAGAGAGAGAGAGAGAGAGAGAGAGAGAGA